CAGATGAAGAAAGGCAACAAATCAATGCAGATGTCCGTGTGAGAATGGCACAGTTGCGTGCATCACAATTCGCAAGAGCGAAACCAGCAAAGACAATCAGAACGAAGAGAAGAGTGCAGATTCGTAGTCAAAAGATGTCGAGGAATTGACCGACAACGTAAAGAAGTACTTCACATTAATATCTTCCAGGCCGCTTCACCTAGCATTTCAGTATTAAATATTACGCTCATTCCAAAGTGGTCATTGGTACATTGGACAAGGAATGCCTGCACTGCCATGCCCTTAAATTTAAAAATGAGCCGATCGGGATGTTTTGCTCATCAGGAAAAGTAAAACGCCCAGTAATTGAAACACTGCCGGGACCATTTCTCGGCTTCCTTATTGGTACTGAACCAGATTCTTCGCTGTTCTTACAGTCAATTCGAAAAGGCAATTCATGTTTTTAAATGAGATCGCTTGGAGGAACGGAAATATTGTTGTTAAAAATGCTGCTGCCAATTGTCAACCATTTAATTCCATATTCAAAATCAAAGACCAAGTTTACTACATCCCCACACACCTATATTAATTTTGTTATTTTGTATTTAAGTACATAATATTCTCTAGCAATAATGGATATAGCAAAATAACATTTGTCGGGTCAGCTAGTATATGTATATATATATATGTATATGCCAGAAACATATATACATACATACATACATTTTAATAAAACTGTAACACGCCTTTTTCCCATTTTAAATGGGCTCAGGGTATAAAAACCACTGCGACTACTAAATCCATTGCTGGAACAAGTTCTTACATTATTTTTGTAATATACTTTTATATATACTTTTACAGTTTGTACTAAGTTAATTTAGGCATTGCAACTACTACAGCATTTGTACAGGCTTCTTCTTTCTTGATGCGTCTGGCAGCACTCAGGGCTGCCATATCGCTCAAGCTATGTATGTGGAGGAGACAACCCTTGCAAAAGAATGCGCCTCTATCTTTGTTTTGGTGGTTGATTTAAGCAAAGCTGCGCAGTTGTCGCCAAAAGGGATTGTGAATACAAATAGCAAGATTAAATATATTGAATAAAATTTTTGCAATAGAAGCTCGAATCAATTTGTTGTCGTTCACTTAAAATTGTTCTCAGTGTTTAAATTTTAAAATGTTGTGGTCTTGGCATTAAAGGAAAGCTAAATAAATATATTTGGAGATTCTATGTATGGTTGGAAAAAATTATAAATAAGAATTTCCATGGCTTCTAGGGAAGGGTTTCAGCTCGCAAAATAAGTAAGTGCTTTAGTTAAGGAACATTATCCACCAGGGAAGAATTCGGCGCCCTAATACCATGAGAAATAGGAATGGATTAAAGTACTGATAAATGTGGATATTTTAAGGTGCACAGCATATTCACAAACTGCTCTTTATTTGTTAAAAAGTCGGTGACGAAAATTTCTACAAATTTTTTAACTGTTATTTTGTATACTTGTACTAAGTGAAAATGGAAAATCAGAAAAGTCGGTAACAGGCAGAGGGAATCATCGCCGACCCCATATATATTCTTGATCAGGGCGACGAGCTGAATTCATATGGCCGTCCGTCCGTATGAACGCCTAGATCTCCGAGAATATAAGAGCTAGAGAGCTGAAATTATGCATGTAATTATGCATGTGAGTACCATACGCAGTACGAGTTTATATTTTTCAATAACTTATCAAGAATAATTGATAAATTGGATTTTCAGACTAATTTAAACAATTTTAGAGTTGAAGACCTTAGACTCACTGTGTATATACATTTAATGGTTACGATTTTGTAATTTACAGATTTTGGATACCACGCCCCTTTCTCCCCCAATCATATTTCAAGTACTAGAGACTTGTGCTCGGAATAAATATGTTTACATTTGAGTATTATGGTTACGTTCTAAAAGTTTCATGAAGATAGTCCTACTACTAAAAAAATTATTTAATAAGTAAAATGTCATCCTAGTATTATCCACACTGTCGCAGCTAACTGCTCAGTTAGCAGAGCGTGTGCGCAGGATGATAAGAATATCAGCTTGCGGAAGATAGGGTACCTCCGAGCAGTTTAGACTAGAGCATTCTTGTTAATTCAAAATGGGGCTCTCTATGGGCTGAGTCAAACTGAATAACTTTAAGTGAATAAAACTTAATAAGCATTTGAACGTGACTTAGGCTTTGAACACGGATATAGGCTATGTATTAATGGCTTTGAAGAAATATAATAATATAATTTACTTAGAACAAATACATAGAAACAAACTCGATTCTGATTTTCCATATTTAAAATATCTATCTATCTATGCCGTACTCAGATGACGAGGCCACAACAATTCGCTAATTTTTTTAAAAATTTGCAGAAAAGTGAATACCAGAGTTTTTCGATTACTTTAATATTGAGGTTCAGGTTCCACTTGTCGGCGTCGTCATGGATTCTTTTCCAAAAAGCATTGATTTTTGTGCATCAGTGCTAAAGAATAACTGTTAGTGGGTAGAGATGTTCCAGTGAGATAGATATGCTCTATCATAAAAAAGAATTGTTATTTCAATAATAACTATGCCTTCTTCTCCCTACACTGTCTATTTGTGGTGTGTGCTAATAAACTAAACTGTCCCTGTGACTGGTCTCTAGCTCGGTAATATTGATAACCTACTAACATTGTGAGAGCTTCTCGTTTTCCAATTTTCAATGGGTTCTGTGCATTCAATTTTCAGATCTCTTACTTATTCTTATAAAAACAAGTAAGACGGCTCTACTCGAGACTGCTCGACTAGGAGATACCCTGAACCCTCCAATCTGATATTCTAATCA